TTTAGACACAAACCACTTTCTCAAAAACAGATATTTCATGAAGTTACCTTGTTCAAGGTCAATAACAAATAGACTTTGCATCACCTTTGTGACCAATTTTCAATAGCCCTAATTCGATTTTGTAGAAAAAACAATATTTAGTATGGCGCTACTTTAAGAGAACACGTATTTGTTCGATATTATAGAAAATAACGCTGAGTCACGTGAATACATTTTATGTGAAATTTTTCATCCCGATCGTAGCAAAGATTTACGCCAAAGTCAAATTTCGAATAGAGCTATTGAGAAAAAAATCTCTGGTGCGGACTTTACTGAGCACACTGTATAACCACAGTCTACATAACAATTTCTGGAACTATATATCCAGTATTAACATTATTTAAATGAAACTTACGTCAGGTTGAAAAAAATTGTGTCAATTTATTTCTCGCATCGAGATCTTTTGACAAAACAAAGCGAAGCGGAGCAAAAATAGTAGGGATTTATATGCATATCCTCATTAGCAGATAGCAGTTTAACATTAAAACGGTTATACACCTAGTATTGAAAAAAATGTGTTTTTTAAATACGTTATGATGGATTTTCATCAAGTATCGGCCAATTCTATCACAGCTATCACACAGGAATTTCAAATTCTTTTCGCAAGGTTTTGTCTCATAAATATAAGNAACCTTTCTGCCCCAAAAAGTGTGTATTATTTCAAAGGGTGACCCTTTCAGGGTATATTTCAGTAAACATTCGTCTCAATGACTTGCAGTGGTTTTTGAAAAATATTTAATGTGTTTATGATAACGAACCTGAAGTGAAAACTTCAAAAATCGAAAAACCTATTACTTCACCACCATATTCTCAAATATTTGGAAGGTTTCAACATGTTGAGCGATCACCAATATGGCTTTCAGAAACAAAGATCAACAGGCGACTTTCTATCGTATGTCACCCATATTTAATATAACGCAATCGAAAAATATGAAGAATCAAGAGCTGTAGCGCTTGATATTTCTAAAGACTTTGATCGTGTGTGGCATGAGGGTTTGCTGGCCAAACTTCAATGCTATGGCTGGTCGGATAATTTTTGTGTATGGCTCTTCAGCTTCCTGAAAGAACGTTTCCTGCAATACTTTCACCATCAGCACTGGTGTTCACCTGAGATCCGTATTGTCTCCAACCCTCTTTTTATTGTATATCAACGACTTATTGGAAGAAACCAAGAATTAAATATACAGTGCATTTCTTTAACGTCCCCCCTTTTATTTTTTGAACGGGTCAATTAAAAAAATTGAAATTTGCGATAATGAAATGAATGCATGAATACTTCATTTTGAAGTGAAATTGACAGATGAAATTTTCAAGATAGCGACTGGCCGCCATCTGGGAAAAAAATTAAATTGAAAAGGGGGTCTTGTGACACATCATTTTGAAGCTCCTGACGAATACTTCACAACTGTAGAATATGGAGTCAATATCTTCACCTACAACAAAATAGCGGAACATTTAATAATTTCCTGAAGACAAACACATTAATATCGATATTTCTAGAAATATCTTTTTTATCTGCCATATGGCAATTCCAACAACCTGATGAGGTTTGTTAAGTTATTTTTTGTTTATGAAAACGACAAAAAATGTCAGTACGACAATGAGCATCATTGTTCAGTTAGAATATTCTCATTTAGTTTTCGGTTTCACTTTTGAAGCGATTTTTATTTACTGTTCGACGCGTAACTTTCACCGGTAGTGTACATAACAAAAAGCCCCCAGGTCATCCGTCCATTCCGGAAGAATAGCAAATGCAAATAATTGGTGAGATGGTAGTAAATCCTGAATAGTCTACTTATTCCGTCGCGAATGTTTGTGAGGTGTCTCCTTCTACTGTGTGGAGATTTTTGAAAAGAGAAATAGGTATCATCCATACAAAATTAAAATGGTACACCAATTAACTGAAGATAACCCTGATCGAAGAACAGAATTCTGCGAAATCATGACGGAAACCATTGCAAGGCATCCTACCTATCTCCACAATATTTATTTTAGTGATGAATGTACATTTTTTAAACGGCAATATTCACAGAAAAAAGTGCCGTTATTGGAGTGACACCAACCCTCACGTTTGCCGGGAAACACATAATATCCAGATAAAATTAACGTTTTGGCAGGAATATTGGGAAACCATTTTGTGGGACTTCTGTTTATTGATAAAAATTTAACAGGGGAACTGTATTTGAGTATGCTGGAAACTACTGTTGCCCCTCACATCACTGAAATCGTAGAAGCGAATCCTAATGAATTCGATATGGATATTGTAGTCCAACAACATGGAGCACCACCACATTACTCCAGACAAGTAAGAAACTATTTGGATACTACTTTTTCCGGCCGTTGGATTGGCCGTCGAGGTCTTATAGAATGGCCAGCCCGCTGGCAAGATTTGACACCTTTGGATTTATGACCTTCTAGAAAGTAGAAACTACTGAAATCGGTTCGTAGTTCGAGAAATCTTCTACTTTACCACCGGTATGAACGGGATTATGATAGCTACCTTTATGCCATTTGGAAATAATCCCGACTCAAAATGATTTAATTCACTCTGCTAAAACATTCAGTATACTACTTAGCGGGTTTTCATTGATGTTTGAATTGAAGGGAATAAACTCTGGGCTAATAGGCCGTCTGCTACTGTGGCAGACATCATCAATAGTATATGTGCACCGCGAAGATGAAGGTTATATCTTGAAGCCTCAGTAATGACACAAAGCTCATTAACCAATATCACCCCCCACGCTATGAAAAAACTGATTATTGGATCGAGTATCATCTGCCGTGAATTTGAATCAATGAGCCAAGAATGACCACCTTTTACATTTTTTCAACCAAAGTTTCTGCCTTCCTGCGGTAATCTGGTATGATTTTGAATTTCGAGAGTAGGAGAGGCATCATTCCACCAAGGAAGGAAATCTCAATTTTTAATCTGTTCCTTACCCTTTTCAAGGTGTTGAAGACACTGGCAGGCCATGATCTACCTCTCAGTATCTCTTCAGCCAACACAACCTGAGGAAAGCAAACAGGTGCTTGGATAAGCAAGCAATGTTGTTGGAGGATACTCTATGCACCGGCTTATCTTTCAATAGCCATAAGGTTAAAGTTCCGACCCAAATGGATGGAGGTATGATCACCAAAGAATTGCTCCACTTCTTGCTCTTTCATGGTCATGGAATATATATAGAAGAGGATCCGAACTACAGATAACTCTACAAGCTGGATCCATTCTGTTCTCTAATAACTCCAAACTCAAAAGTCGCGGCCTCCTTGTTGTCGTTGAAAGTATAATTTTCCGGATCATTTCGAATTGATAAAGCTCTTCCCGAGTCTGCTTCACTACTTCAAAGGAGTAGAGTAAGATGGGAAAGGCAACCGCGTTTGCAGCAACAGGTTTATTCTTTCCCGACAGTTCCATGATCAGATATGTCAGAGCTTGTACAGTTACTTGTCACATAGAGAGAGTTCTTCACTGAGGTTATCTCTTGTGAATAGCGTTTTTCAACTCTATTAAGTACGAACTACACATTCACTCCATAATCCTCGCATCATCTTCGAAACGTAACACATTTCTCTATCCTGAATTTCATACACATAGCATGCTTGTACTCTTCCACCGCCCTTAAGAACTGATGGAGATAATTTTCCCAGAGACATGAAGTTCAATGTCATCCGTATAAAACAAATGGGTCACCTTATTCCTTCGTTTTCCAGGGGTACCACAATTATATGCTCGCGTTTTTCTCAGCGCCACGGATAATGGCAATGTGGATATGGATAAAAGAAGGGAGTTAAGGAAATCACCCTACAACAAAAAGAAGCCCACTCTGTTCCGACTCTTACCTGATCGGATGTTATGGTAAAGCGAGGCCTTCGGAGTGGTATCAGTTCTTTAAGGCGTCACACTGCATTTGTGTGGAGTTCAGCAAAGTATCTCAGAAAATGCGAGATGAAATCACGCCATGATGTATTAAAAGCCTCACAGTTATCAATCCAAACTACAGAGAAGTTATGCTTTTAGCAGGTTCTCCTTACATCCAGCGACTCCTCTCTTTGACCCCCTTTGCTCGTATATCCGTTCGAATACTTGGTCAACTAAGGTGAGTATAACAAGAATACTCACCTTAGTTGACAACATGATCAACAACTTAAACACAAATTAAAGTATTTTATCAGCCTGTTATTGGCAGCAATCGAAAAATTTGTTTTTTTTTTTTATAAAAATATGACGAAGGAATCTTGAATAGCCAGATAGCCATGGATACTCGGTAGTATTTATTCCAAAAAGTATTCAGCTATCTAGGTTTTCAGCCACAAAGCTAATCAAACCCACAAGTGATCTTCGAAGCATTACCCGCAGTTATTAAGTTGCACAAGTTCTTTATCATCAGACCGTCAAAATTACTCATTGAAAACTTTAAAATTCACTAGAACTGAGGTACCTAGGTTTACATCAATGCTTTTATTCATAAAAGTTCTTCCAGAAGGATTCCAGCTGAATAACAGTCGATGGAAATCTACAACATGAGCTGGCTCTTGCAATAAACGAGAAAGATTCTCCTGGACCTTTTCATAATTACCAATCCTTAATATGATCTTTTGTTTTCCTAAATGAAGAACAAACATGTTCAAAAAATCACTAATCATCTACACTTATAATAAATAGAATAGTAATTGTACTACTACATTCATCTTCATTTGTTGGATTAGAGATAATTAAAGTAGAAGGAGATTGCCCATATTTTGAAACTTTAACTTGAAAGTAACTTCTAGAATAAATTCAAATAACTAAATATGTACTATTCCAAATTTCCTAATTGTACTATTGAAATTGTGAAATTTCCTCTTTAGACAAACACTTCATTATTATTATTTGGGTTAGTTATTTCATAAATAATGATAACTGATGATGAATCACATTAAAAAAAAATAACGTTCTTATGATACATATCATGTTCACTTACCAGAATATTCAAAAGGTCTGCAGTAGTTTCAAAATGATCTATATCATCCGTCAAATCTACAGTAATTTGATATTCAACGTCACAATGGAGATCATGAAGTTCTTGTTTGACTTCGAAATACGGATCAATACTATCGTGATAAGAAGTCTGTTCTTTTTTGATTTTCTCTGATATATCAAATATTTGGCTCTGAGCAAATAGCTCATCATCTTCTCCGTCAGATATAGTAATGCAATCATCACCGTGTATAGAATATTGCAGTTTTTTGTCAACCTTATAGGAAGTGTCATTATTGTCAGAAGTGTCAGCTTTGTTTGAAATGCCAGTTTTGACCGAACTATCCGCTTTGTCAGAAGTTACAGCTATGTCATAAGTGAGAGCTCTGTGGGAAGTAGCATCCGTGTCCGAAGTAGCAGTTTTATCATATATGACAGCTTTGACAAAAGTGTCAGCTTTGTTAGAAGTGTCAGTTTTGACAGAAGTGTCAGCTTCGACAGTAGTGTCAGCTTTGACAGTGTCAGCTTTGTCAGAAATAGGTGAAATCTGTAACAAAAAATATCACTGAAAATAATGAATGTTTTCATAAAGTTTGAGGTATTGAATATATAAAACACAAATTTCAGACAACTTTTAGAAATCATAATAAACTATAGGACAATTTCGAATAGAACTTTATTAATCGATAGTTGATATATGGATATTGTTGGAAGATATTGTGTTTTATTAGGAATAAGTGGTGATGACAGCTCTTCATCTAGTATCAATCACTACTTTTTAAGACAGTGTTGATTTCAAGAAAGGCATTTTTTCAACTGAACATAAAAACAAAATAATTAAAGTATACAAGTTGTACCACCTCTCGTTAATGTTAGCACAATGCATGTTGAATTGTATTTTTATATCTACTTGTGTGTATTTGAATTTGACTTGTTTATACCTTATGAGGTCTTTGAATTCAATAGAGTTCATTATTTATTAAAAACAATTATAAATTATATACATGCACAATATAGAAACAAATTCAATAAAATAGAGGCTCACCAGTTTAACTTCTTCTCTTCTTACTTCAAAAATTAATGGGAGAACATCAGAATTTTCCTCCAACATTTGAGAATTCATTCCGAAGCCCACGATGTCTAGATGGTTGAGCTGCACATTTTCCAAGGGCTGTATTTTTCTTTGATTAATGAACGTTCCATTACAACTCTGGAAATGATTGATTTCAAATTTTATCTGGATTTAAAGGAATTAAGCTGCTTGAAGATCGAACAAATTGAAATTATTTAAATAACATCATTAATAAGTTTGGAATAGATGTGACAATAATGAAACTCTCAGTTGATAATAAAGTAACCTGATCTATTTTTCATTGAGGAAAATGATCAGGCTAGATAAGCATTTCTCAATCAAAGATATGGACCCAAGGGGGGTCAGCTATGGATATTAAAAATATTGCCCATATATGAAATAAATGTTTTAAAATTAAATAGTACCAAGTAATATAGTCATACCAATAAGATACAATTTCAACTATAACAATATTCAAAGTTGCTTCGGCAAAAAATTGTAATACACCAAACAACAATACTCGACTATCTATGGTTACGCCAAGATTTTTAGCACTGTCTACCCAGTCAATGTCTGCGTTATCGAGAGTGAGCCTAAAGTTACACTGAGTTTCTACTATTTGTCTTTGAGACTCTATGCATAAGGCCAAAGTTTTATTTGATGTTCCTCTTGAAGATTGATCACTTGGTTATTGAAACACCTGTTGAGGTGTTAAAATAACGGTTTGGTGTTGGGAAATAACTCCAGTAATATTAATTACTACACCAAAGGTTCCAAACAGTGTATCACAAGTAAATTATTTTCAATTTATAATGGACGAGTTTCGCATTCAGTTTTGAATTTCTTCAGTTGAGAAGTATTTTTTGCATAAATAATTTAGAGATGTAGAGAATCCATATTCATTTAATAAAATTACACCCAGAGTTTCTCAAGAATCACAAGGTATTGAAAAAAATGCACCCCAAGTACCAATCAATATATAGGGAAAACTTCATCAGCTTTGGCCATTACCAGATTACAAAGCTTTGATAAGAGAAGTGGCCTGTAACCATTTAAATTTTTCGTAAATAGTATTTCTCCCTGTATGCTAAACGTCTTGATGGAGGTATTGTTGCAACTGTCAATGGCTGAGACGATTAAGAGAAAGGGATTGAAGATTATCATGTGGAACATTAGAAAGAGGACGCAGAGTAAGAAAATGAAACTGGTAAGCACCGAAAGATCTTGAGGATCAAAACTGGTAAAGCATAAGAGCCCCAAGTTCAGAAGGGATTTAATTTGAACTAGAAGACAAATTAGAACTTGTTCGTCAAGAACACGAACTAGGTGTGATTTTAATTTAATTTCAATTTTTAATTTAATTTAATTCATTAACTGATAACACCCAATTAAGTTCAACAGATTTCACAATAAATCATATGAATACAGACATAATTACATCTAACTACTTGCTAAAAGTGAAACTGACTTATAGAGAAAAAATAACAATGAGAAAAAAATTAACTGATATGCGAGAATTGAAATGAAGATCAAATGAACAATAAGAATATGAAGATTCAAGATAGGGGCGAGTGTTTGCCATAGTTACAACGATGAAAATCTATAACAAATGTGTCTGTATGCCTTGTACTTTTAGAAGGAACACGCAATTCAATTTGCAGGGCAGTTAATAGGAGAATTCAATATTTGGAATAAGAATTTTAAGTCAGTTTCAACTCTACGACTCCTTAGCTTCAGTATATCTGTCGCCCTAAGAATATCTTCTAATGAATCGTCCTTCAAGGGCATTTTTAACTTGAACGCCATAAATTTAAGGAATTTTTTTGGTACTCGATCAATATTAATTGCATGAGTTTCAAAAGTCGGCGACCAAATGGAACTGCAATAATCTAAGACTGATCTTACCGGAGTGAAATACAGCATCTCTATACATTCAATATTAGAGAAGTCCTTGGATATACAACAAATAAGGCCTAGCATTTTTGTTGCTTTGTTTATAATGTAACGAATATGAAGCCGCCCCTGACCGATATGCCGGCCGACTGAGGGAACACATGACATCACCGCGAAAGAATGCAGTCGGGAATCGCCGGTAAACCTCTGGAACCGAACCGACTACAGATTTATAGAAAGGACCGTTGCCGATATAAACACGGCTACCCGACCCAAGAGGGCAGTTCAGAAAGTGAATCAAGTGGCTAAACAAGAAATTTAAATAGTGGAAATAAACTAAGCGTTAGTTGCTAAGTGTTGTAAATAAATTAGTTTGTGATTAGTGGAATATTGTTGGAAATAAATTTGTTTAAGACAGTTACTTCATTAATTTGTCACAATAATATAGGTGAAAGTCCACTTTTTTGTCCATCACCACACCCATATCGGGTACAAATTCGACACGAGTTAAAAGTTCTCCCAATATGTTGTAATAATAGTTTATGGCTTTAAGTTGAATGTGATGAAAACTAAAGCGATGATAATCACAACCAAGTTTAAATACAGCCAAATGGACTCTAAAACTATTAATCTCAACATTGATGATGACAAAATTGAAATAGTGAATTCAACTAAATATCTGGGATTCCAGATAGATAACACTCTATCGTTTGATGAACATTTTGAGTATATTCATAAAAAAATTTCAAAGAAATTATTCTTTTTTTCTTCTTTCTACATGTTGCATTGAAATTTTTCGAATGTATAATGTTGCTGTTTTTGTAGTAATGTCTTTAAAAATATTTTATTGAACTTATGTTTGTCATACATTTAAGTCATTTCTATATGTAACACATACCTTGTTTTTTTTTCTACCATTCTAGTTGATTTGTATATTATTAGGATATCCTATTCAAATAAAGATCTATCTATCTATAGTATGTCATATATTTACATTTATTCACTTTGAAAGTCATATCATTTTTTACCATCACTAAATCTACTCAAATCTGTTTGTAATACTAATCAATCTGGTGTTGGAACTGTACTAAACATTTTTAAATCATCTGCAAAAAGTAAGGCCATCTATATATTTTAAGTTAAGTTTGATATCATTTATAAAAATGTTGAAAAGAAATGGCCCCAGGTGGCTTCCTTGTGGTACGCCTGATAAAACCAGGTTATCTTGTCTCCCAGAGCCATCCAAAATGAAAGGCAGATGGGGGGTTAAATAACGATTTGAACACTTCTGATTCAACGCAGACCTTCATCAATTCAATAAGCTGACGATAAACTCCTATAAAGTTGGAACCTCAATCAGAAAATATCTGAGATACAAAACAGATCCCCAATTTATTTTTACAATGATTTCTACAAATACAAAGACCGTGTAGAACACTTGACAGTAAACAAAAGGTACATTTTATTGTCCTTTTGGTGACTCTAGGAATATTGAGAAAAAATATTTTGAAATTTCCACATCAAATAAAAAATCATTTAAAGGACCTCCCTGAATCAAAAAGTCCTGAAAGTTGTAGAATTGAAAATGCATAAAAATTTTGCTGACTACTACAATGGCAATTTAAAACCGCTTCTTTTTTCTAACTCACCTTATTGTCGTGAACGAAAAGATTTCCCCCGATCAAAACTGAGAGTGTTGCATGGTTTCTTGACACTTCTTTTAGTTCACTTTTGATGTCCGCCTGAATATGTCTTCCAACTTTATAAGTCGGTTTAGTAATGTGAAATACTTCATTACTTTTAATATTTTTCAAGCTCCACTTGACTTCCGACATTTTGCTAGAATTGAAAAAAAAAGTTTATTATTTGAAAATAGCTTATAAATAAACTTTTGATCACGTGAAAAGGAATGAAATTAAAAACAAGTGGCCCGGCAGATCACTCACCAAATAAAGTAATCGGCTTCGTTAAAAAGTCGGATTTATTCGGTCGAGTTGATTAGATGGGAGCCACAATAAATCCTCGCGAATTGCGTGTAGTGTCGAATAGATCTTTTCATTTCAACGTATTCAAAAAACACACTTCAACGCGAGATTTCCAATTGAAATTGTGTTTTTTGAATACGTTTTAATAGATTTTCATCAAGTATCGGTCAGTTCTATTATATTCCTCTCATTTTACCCACCTACTACATAACTATATATTGCAAGACATGAACATTATGATATTTGAATATTACTGGAGTTTTTTTCCCAACACCAAACCGTTATTTCAACACCTCGACACGTGTTTCGACTACCAAGTGATCATCTTCAAGAGGAAGCTCAAACAGTTTGATCGAAGAGGTTCTTCAGAAGGGACGATACACAAAGATCGTAAGGGACCCTATTGCATCAATTGAAAGGAAGTTGTACCAGATTTTGAAAAAACACCAAGTCAATTTTTCGGACAAGGAAAGATTATCGCTAACACCGCACCACAGTAGACTTATATGGACTACCCAAAATCCACAAGAAGGACGTTCCACTTAGACCGATCATCAGCTCCAGAGAATCGGCTAATCAAAACTTGTCTAGATTTTTACTTCCCATAATACAACCATTACAAGGAAAAACATTGTCTTTTGTGAAGAATTCAACGCGAAATACTAGGGTCAATTGAAGTCACACAGGAAGATCAACTAATTAGTTTCGACGTGAAGAGCCTTCACACCAACGTTCCGGTCGAAGAAGCACTCCAAATCATACAGAACCTGAAAAAGAGAACGAATCTACCTATAGAAGTAATTATAGAATTACTAGGATGCTGTGTACGAAACTGTTATTTCCAACTGAAGGACGAATTCTTTTCACAAGATGAGGGACTGCCAATGGGATCGCCACTTTCACCAGTCATAGCCAACATATATATGGAGTGGTTTGAAACTCTGGCCATTGAAGAAGCCCACAAGAAACCTTGAGATATGTTGACGACACCTTCATGATATGAAACTATGGGAATACTGAATTAGACGCCTTCCTGAAACACAACAACAGCGTGAGACCTTCCATCACTTCCACAATGGAGAAGGAAATCCACAATGAATTGCCATTCTTAGACGTTTTGGTGAAGAGGACCGACACTAAGTGGGAAACATCTGTATACCGAAAACCCACTCACACGGAACAGTATCTGAACCACGAATCCAAGCTGATTAACGGAAAAACAGATTTGAAACCACCATCAAGGAATCATCAAGACTCTATTAGATCGTGCTTTTGGGTTCTGTAATACGAAGGAAGGTCTCGAGAAGAAACTAGACATCATCAAAAATGATCTTCAACGGAATGGCTACTCCAAAGCGATGGTAGAAAAGACTTTGGCTAAAAGACAGCAGGAGCCTCACAAGGAAGATAAGCCATCACAACCAGTGCTTGCACTTTCCTACATCAGAGGATTATCGGAGAGGATAAGAAGAATTGGTTCCAAGTACATCAGAACCTGCTTCAGATCCGGTAACACTATCCGTAGCAGCCTCACGAAAACCAGGCCACCAAACGCGGACTGCGATTCCAAGAATTGCATTTACCGGGTACCCTGTGAGTGCGGAAAATCCTATATTGGTGAAACTAAGAAGCCAATTAATGTACGCATTGCCGAGCACAAGAAACATACACTTACTGGAAAATCCCAACATCTTTTATATAAAGATGGAGAAGTAAAAAGCCAAAACCTTTCTGCCCCAAAAAGTGTGTATTATTTCAAAGGGTGACCCTTTCAGGGTATATTTCAGTAAACATTCGTCTCAATGACTTGCAGTGGTTTTTGAAAAATATTTAATGTGTTTATGATAACGAACCTGAAGTGAAAACTTCAAAAATCGAAAAACCTATTACTTCACCACCATATTCTCAAATATTTGGAAGGTTTCAACATGTTGAGCGATCACCAATATGGCTTTCAGAAACAAAGATCAACAGGCGACTTTCTATCGTATGTCACCCATATTTAATATAACGCAATCGAAAAATATGAAGAATCAAGAGCTGCTGCGCTTGATATTTCTAAAGACTTTGATCGTGTGTGGCATGAGGGTTTGCTGGCCAAACTTCAATGCTATGGCTGGTCGGATAATTTTTGTGTATGGCTCTTCAGCTTCCTGAAAGAACGTTTCCTGCAATACTTTCACCATCAGCACTGGTGTTCACTGGAGTGACACCAACCCTCACGTTTGCCGGGAAACACATAATATCCAGATAAAATTAACGTTTTGGCAGGAATATTGGGAAACCATTTTGTGGGACCTCTGTTTATTGATAAAAATTCAACAGGGAAACTGTATTTGAGTATGCTGGAAACTACTGTTGCCCATCACATCACTGAAATCGTCGAAGCGAATCCTAATGAATTCGATATGGATATTGTAGTCCAACAACATGGAGCACCACCACATTACTTCAGACAAGTAAGAAACTATTTGGATACTACTTTTTCCGGTCGTTGGATTGGCCGTCGAGGTCTTATAGAATGGCCAGCCCGCTGGCAAGATTTGACACCTTTGGACTTTTATATGGCGCTATTTGAAGAAAAAGGTGTACGAGTAGAGATATTGAATTTACTGTGTTCAAAAATGTTCGGCATGAAATATCGGATAGGCTGTTCATATGTCAAGAGGTTCAAGGCAACCGTTTCGAGCAGCTTCTGAAATGACCTCAAGTTTATTACCACATATTATGTAGTTGAATGTCAATTCATGTATTCGGGCAATTATTTAAAGTTCCGCCATTTTGTAGTAGTTGAAGATATTGACTTCATATTTTAGGGTTGTGAAGTATTCGTCAGGAGCTTCAAAATAATGTATCACAAGACCTCCCCTTTCCATTTATTTTTTTTTTCAGATGGCGCCCAGTCGCCATCTTGAAAGTTTCATCTGTCAATTTCACTTCAAAATGAAGTATTCATGCATTAATTTCATTATTCCAAATTTAAATTTTTTGAGTTGACCTTTTCAAAAAATAAAAAGGGGGGGACATTAAAGAAATTCTCTGTATACATCTCTTGAATCACTCATCTATTAAAAAACCCGCATCAAAATCCGTTGCATAGTTAAGATCTAAGCATAGATAGAGACAGACAGCGGAAATCGACTTTGTTTTATACTATGTAGTGATATTTTTTAAAGAGCACTGGTCATAAATGTATCAAATAAGTATCTAATCTCGATCTGGACTCCCAATCATACGAAAATTAATGGTAATACCTAAAATCTTTGTAGATGTCAATGAAATAAAGGTGGAAAGCAAGAAAAAAAACTCAAAAAATGAGAAATAATAGACACTACACAAGAGTAGAGAATTGAACAAAAAAAAAATTAATGTTTCCGGTACACCACAAGATGCTCCAAGGTTTTTATATTTGATGAGCGGGATTTGAAACCTCTGTATGATCTCCTGATGCTGCTATCTTGGTTAGCGGATCGCGCGTCTAGACGCAGTACTTTATTCTGGGAAGAAAAAGTGTTTTTAATAGAAGTTTTTTATACAAAACAAATGAATAAAATTTACTTACTTGAGAGTGGAACTAAACAACACCAAAGATAAATAGATAAATTGTTCTAGTGTGGTATTTTTAGAAATATTTTTATAACAAGCTTTCAGATTCATTTACACTAGTCTACTTCAAAACATCCGATTTACTAGTAATTAAACTACCTGCCTGTGAATGAAGAACCTATGAGAAACAAAAAACTCAACATTTTTTGTTTCTACGTATGGTTAAAATATTGACGATTTCAAAATATATGTAAAAAATATATAATACATAGTAAAAAAGTAGGTCGCAAAAACTCGCGGGTTACAGATAAAAAATAAACATTTGAGTATTGGCACAAGTTTTCTGTACTTCTTTGAATAGATAAAATGCTAAATTTCACAAATATTGTATTTCATTCAACTAATTCTTTGACACCTATCCTGTCAATGTACCTAGTAATGTAACTTTTTTTTTTGGTTTTGCATCAGCTCCATTTCAGAATTTTATTTTCGACAGTTGGCCACAAAAACGTGAATCGAAAACTGAAACTATGAGTCAATACTCTGGTTTTCTATCTCAAAAATAATCAGAGGTGATAAATATATATACATACACATATGATCGTGATATGAATGTTGTTTTCACACTGAGACGAGTTGAAAAAAAAATCATGTAACTTATAATTTTTTCAGTGAACTATACTTATTTTCAATTTTCACTCGTTATATTATCCAACTGGCAGGTAATGCAGAGCAAATGCAATGCAATGTTCCAGAAGTGTCAATCAAAACACTGTCTCAAAGAATATTTAATTAAAACTATAGCGGGTTTATGAAACAATAGCTGAGAAATAAACCTAATGACAAGTAACTAACATTATACCTTAGAAAAGTATCCGGTTTGTGCACATATTAACATAACCACATTTATTCTAACCACGTTTATTCTTCATTTGATATTTTTCTTTACTACTGAAAATAATTATATAAACAAAAGAATGTTCAACACTCTTTCATTCATTTTTTCCATTATTATATTTCCGATTCAGTTTTATTTCAGAACTCACATTCAGGTACAATAACAATAAAATATAAAAACAAAGGTTGTGGCTTCCCAAGATGATCTTGTGTCATAACTAGCAACCATAGTACCTAATTACATATTTTATATACAATATATATTATACACATATATACACACACACATATACTAGTATATACATACACACATATACACATACACACATATATTTCGTAAGTGTATGTAGATACACTTGAGAAAGCTACTGTGCTAGCGAAACATGTTGTGGTTATATTTTTTCAAATAAA